TTTATTATTAACCTAGCTGCGAAAACGTATAAAGTATTTCATTGTGTGTTATGACGATTCACGGTCAATTAGTTCGCAAAGGTTTTATCTTCATAAAAACGGCATATTTTAAAAACAATTCTAATTTTTTTTAATTTCTTTTTTAACAAAAGTTTTTAGTAAAGTTTTAGTAAAAATTTATTACTGAATATTTTATCTTTTCGACAGTACTTATATACCCTTTCAAATTTAAAAAAAAAAACTAGCCAATTTTTCTCTTTTTCACTTTTCTTTTTATGTGGGCAGCCATTCTGATAAGATATTTTGCTTTGAATGAAGTTAGTCAGGTTATTGCAGGGTAATGTTTGTTGAATTACTATGAAAAATAAATGACACATCATGAACCATTTTTTAAAATATTTTCTTACTTTGTTTATAGCCTATAGGTGAAAAATATTCTGCTGATGATAATATTAATGCAGTGTTTTGTAAGTAAATCAAATAAAAGTCTGTATAGACTTATAATTTTTTTGCTGTTATATAAACAATTGTGTACATTTTAGTATAATAATATTGTATATTATTTACATGGATTGGTTAGCATTTTAAAGATAATGAAAAAAATATACATATATATTCTTGGTAACAAGGATTTTAATGATCATATATTAACGATCCATACATTGTAGAGTTTAAAGAAAGAAATAAGAAACAAGGTATATGCAATTAACATGGTTAAAATAATAAATGTATATAATATATGTAAATATGTAGTATTAATCATGACATTAGTGTATATCATTTATACTAATATACTTTTTTCTATGTGGTCTCTATATTTCTTCATAAAATCCAATAAGTGAAACCTTAAATTCACTCTCTGAATCTATCTATATCTCTACTTATCTGTCTTGTGGTCTAGTTTATGCTATGGTGTTCAATATAACACATAATAATATAAATACTGTAAAATAACATTTGTCTTTTATATAATAGTTATTAATTATAACAATAGAATTATAGAATTTTCATTTATTCAAATACTAAATTAAATATACATTTATTTATTGCAAAATGTTATATATATTTTATAATTATAATTTTATAGTTATAATTATTAGGTTTTAATGGAAAACTAATAATAATTTAATAAAAAGTAGTGTATAAAATAAAGTGATAAAATAATCTATGATATTCTGATATTTTGAATATTCTTTAGTTTCTTAGTATATCTTTGGATCTATTGCTACTTATGGTTTACATTTAAAGTTTGGATTGAACTCTTGGCATACTTTCCATATTTGAATCTACATTGCCAAACATGTTTCTACACCATGTATAGGTTACAAACAAAGTGTTCCTAAACATTAAATAGTTTAAATTTTATAATATATGTATTTTAATTAAATTAAATATAAAACTTATTTATTTATATATCTATTTTTAAAAATTTAATATTATGTTCATGTTATATAAAAAAATCTATTTGCTCAAAAATTCATTCTAGTTTATATAATAGTTCCTATATATATTTTTTTGAATATATTTTGTATTTGCAACTATATATCTTCTTGAAGATATAAAGATTTATAACTACACTTAATACATTATTTATAAATTTTTTTATAAGGACATTTTTTTCATTTGAATTAAAAATGTAAAATATAATAATGATGTTACACATACTCATAATATATACACTCATAATATTATACATAACTATTAAATTTTCATTTTTATTTTTAGGAAGAACCAGCTACTTTGTCTACACTAAATGAAGGTGAATTGCGTGCACTATTGGATGAAGCCATAACTTATAAGTGTCCCAAAGATCGCGAAGGAAAATCAAGTCTTTTTAAAGTAAGCATGCTGATATTTCCATTTCTTTTATTATAATAATAATTTTATGATGTTCATTTTAGGAATTACTTCAAGAAGCAGAAGCTGATGAAACTGAAGAAGGTCGTAGAATAATAACTAATTCACGTTGCTTACCTGGTTCAAATCGTAGAAGACATAAAAGAGACTCTGTATCAGAGAGATTGACACATGGAGGATCATTGCAAAATTTAGCACAACCTATTGCTTCAGAATTTGATAGTAGTTTTGCTTATTTGACATCTGGCTCTAGCCACACTTACGGAGGAAGTAGAAGAAAAAATAAAAAATATACAGGACCTAGTGTATCTGCAAGACAAAGAGAAGGAGGTTCATTACCCTCAAATGTTAATGCATCACACAGTCTTGCTTCATTGGCTAATTTAGACTTATTATTTGATAAAAAGGTTTGTGTGTGCGTGTATATGTGTATATATATATTAAAAAAATATGTGTATATATATATATATATTAAAAAAATATATTGATACTTATTAATAAATTGATACTTATTACAGTGGATACTTATCTACATATATTTTCTTCATTAATTTTATTGAAATAATTATTTATATGAACAATATAACTGTAAATTTAATGTACCATATATATTACTTAATTAATTTTTTTTTAAGAAGGGTTTCTGTGAGGAAAGGACAGCATATGACTGGACCAATAAAGAAAAATCCAAATCTTTAGACAAACCATCATATAATAATATTAAAAAGGAAGAAAAAGAAAAAGATAAAAAGGATACGAAAAAGGATTTGTGCGAAACTGAAATCGAAGTGAAAAGAAGTAATAAAGGAAAATACGGGACAAATGAAATGCTTGAATCAGATAATCCACCACCAGAATATAAATCAGATTACATGGTGATTGATTTAGGTGATGCTGAGGTAAATTCATACATTATTAATATAATAAATGATATATGTTACGTTTTATTTAATTTATATATATATAT